GAGACACTCGCGATCCGCGTGTTGGGAAGCGACGGGAATGGGGAACTCCCCGTGGAATTTGTCGCCGTTCCTCGTGGGTTTCCTCTAACAAACGGCTGATCGTGGCGGTGTCGGCACGGCCAGGGCAGCTGCCGCAGTTGCACTGCTGCCTCTGTGAATCCTTTTTCCCCAAGGATTGTCCTTCTTGCCCATCCTTCCATATTTACCCCTGCTAGGAGGGTGGGAAATACCCTTCTGCCCCCGGCCTTCCTCAAGGGAGCCTGCACACACACAGCATCTCTTTGGAAAATGGAGCAAGGAGGAGGATCATTGGAAGGGGAGGAAAAGGATGGAGGAGAGGGATAGGGGGCCTGAGACAAGAGTAGAGGCTGCAGCAAGTCCTGCCAGGGTTTACAGTCCTCTCCTGTTTGATTAATCACCTCCCAATACTCACGCTGTGCTCTGCCTCGCTTGGGGAGGAGGACGAAAAAGGAAAATGCAATCACGTAATTAAACACAAATAACACGAACAAAAGGAATCTAGGGGCTGCATGGACAATCTTAATAGTATTTCAGAGCATCAGATCAGACTTTGTCTCAGACTTCTTTCGAGAGCCCCTGCCTGGAGAGTTCCCAAGTTTTATTTCAGCACAACATAGCTGAAAGTTCATGCCTCAAGCACAGCTTTCCACCTCCATAGTCCCTCCATTTTAATATGAAGGAGGTAAAACTTTTCTCACCAGAAGTCCAGCTCCAACACTAGATTTGAGGGTACGTGAAACAGCAGGACTCCTGTTTGAGCGGCTTAAGAGGTAGTGAAACAGTTTAAACAAGCAGCTGCGAACGCTGGGCTTCACCCACAGTCTCGGGGATAACGGTCCTGTCAAACCCTGACTCATGAAGTGACCTCATGTTAGCGAGGAGACAAGTCTTAAAACGAGGAGCCAGACTTTAATCACCGTTGACACGTTAGTGGTAGCTTGGAAGAATTTAGTTTTAATATTAGGAACTGGCTTGAAGAAATAAACTTCAAAAGACGTTGAAGAAAGAAGCCTTAATTATGAACAAATCATCGCTACGCACAACTATTAGGAATGTAAATAGGGAGAGCAGTGGGTTTTCTTTACGTGGAAGGCAGAGTAACTTCTGTTTTTAGAAGTGTGGTGGTGTCAGTATTACACCAGACATATGCAGAGTGCAAAAACAGACTGAAAGAATCCAAGGTATTGCTGAGGCTTGTGGCCCATCCCGCTGCGTCGGGGCTGCCTCGGCACCCTCGGAGCTGCAGCGCGCGGCCCCGCTGGAGGCATCAACGAGCCCTGCTGGGATTTGCATTTTACCAGCTCCGCTTCCTACTACGGGCAGTTGCAGTTTGTTCCTGGTTTGGATGTTTCACGCTCTCCTTTCAAGCTGTCTGTGCTAAGAGGCACATCGAGCCCCCTGCACAACGTCGCACCAAGCGGAGAACGTACCCAAACTGGGGCTGTGATCACCACAGCTGGGGAAAGGGGAAGCAGGAGACTTCACACCTTCTGCAGGGGGTTTCTTCCTTGCCACTCCACCTCTGGCAAGTTGGCCATGCCTCATGCAAAGGAAAGAGGTTATTTTTCTTGGAATTTCAAGTCCACTGCCAAGCGTTCCCACATCCTGGCACACAAGTTGGGCAGAGCCAGCGTAATTTCTACCGAGTAACTCGGAATCCAAGTCTTTGAAGTACGTGGCTTTTCAGAAAACCTGCCATTAAAAGCTGCAAAATGAAGGCAGTAAGGAATGATTCAACTGCTACAGGAACATGGGAAAGTTCTCTGGAGAGCCTGACCCTGACCTGAGATGGGTTTTGAGTTCATGTTCAAATGCAGGTAGATTTGGAAGTCATTCCAGAGATCTCCTAAGCACAAATAATTTCCTTCCAAAGGCAATCCTCTTTAAAAACCCCTTATTTTCCAATAAATGTTTTAGACTAAATGTATACTTTCAAGTTCTAACTTAACCTATTAGCCAAATGAAAAGTGCTGGCTTTGTAAGATTTCTTGTGTCTACCTCCTGCTTAAGATACACAATTTGGAAACATCAAAATTACAGTAGTTCTAGACACTGGAAAGAGGTCTCATTTCAGGTATGTGCAGCATTGATTTTTTTTTTTTTGCCACAATGTTTTCAATCAGAGCAAGTATTCAGACTTGCCAAGTGCTCTGCATTCCAGAAGCCCAACATAGCAAAGCACTGTCAGATGTGCCATTCCAGGTGTGCTCATAACCCAACTAATCAACACCTGGCAGCATTTGGCCCCTGAAGCCCAATATATTGCAGAACAATGAAGGCAGAATTTACCCATCTACTTGATGTTAAAGTCAGAAGAGCTGCATCTCAGGGGGAGAAGCACTTCAGTCGTGACAGATCACAGGGTGTCAGCGCTCCTTGCAGTCCTCTGCTTGAAAAGGGGTACAAATACCCTCACTGAGTTAATACTGTCACTTGGAATTCGGTTCAGGTACGGTAGAGCCACTCCTTGAGCTCCATTTCTGTACTTTGTACATTATTTATAGCTATAAAGAAGGTCTCTTTAAAAAAAAATCTCTCCCTAGAGGCAGGCTGGTAGTAGACTTTTGCTTGGACTTCTTAAAAGAAAGAAAGAATCAGCTCCTAACTGAATTGTAAGATAGATATTGTGGACACACATTTCCTATCACTAATAGCTTAAGTAATTCTACTTAATAGCACAAGCAAAATTAGTTTTTTTTTCTCTCTCTCTCTGATTAACTTAATTTTCAAAAGCCAGAAATATACTATGTTAATCCTTCATTCACTCCCCAGAAAAGTAAGGCAGCGTGGCACTAAAAATAACCATAGGGCATAGTTTTCTGAGACAGCAAAACAGACGTAGCAGCTAGAGGCTCCCAAAAGGGAAGGTCATCTCTCCATCCCGCCCGCCTGCCCTCGCTCCAGCACGGCTGCTTCTCCAACCCTGGCTGACCCAGCTTGAGAAATCAGACTAAAATGATGTTCTGCACATTTAGGGAGGGCACATCTTCCTCCCAGCTATGCTGCTTGAACTGAGTTGTTCTCCTCCTCTCTGAGAGACCAGACAAGTATTAACACCCTTAAGAAGGGGCTGGCACTGCAGCAAGTGGGAGATGCATCGTGTGGCCAAGCACGGTGCAGGGATGAAGCCCCCAGACCTGGGCAGTGGTGACACAGCTGAGCCTGCAGCCACGTCAGCCACCTGTTTATTTTGCTCTTAGTTGTGAGCAAGCTGTAACTGAAGGGCTCTGACCAGCGGGGCTTCCTTCTCACAGCTACGCTCGTCGTTTAATAGGACCAGATCTGAGGATTCGCCCGTTGTAAACACGGGTGTGAGTAACATCTGCTGCCTAAATCGGCATGAAAAATTGTTTACTAGAGTGCAAACATGTAAACTAGAGGCAGCTTCTTGGACACGTAAGCAGCAGCCCAGGAGGTGGGATAGCAGGTCAGCCCCTGCCAAGTCTCACATTGTTCCTTGTCTGGGGCTTCAGAGGATCCCAGCTCCGGGATTTCAGACAGCTCTGGATACCCTCCTGCCTCCCTAGGCTCACCACAGGGACCACAGAGAAATCAGCACAAACACTTTCCAAGGTGCTCTTCCAAGAACCGCCCCCGCGCCAGCTCCGCTAGGACCCGCGTGTGTGCTTGGAATAGCCTGACTCGTGTGTGGGACTGACGGGCCCGGCTTGCAGTGGACTTTGACCTCTGGAAGACAAATGAGAAAGAGCTCAATCCACAAATCCCAAGCACTTTTTATCGTGTTATGCAACAGAACAGTCACAAGGTCACTAGTTACTTTCATTTCATTCTAATTGCATTTGGTTACGACGCACCTACTATTTTCAAACAGGGATTTTTTCTCTTTTTTTAAGCATAGGAATATAGGACATGAAAGCAAAATGCCAAATTACAAACAGGTAAGCAACCACATTTTAATGCTTTGCATAAAGTACATATAGAATTCATTCCCATGCAACATTCTGAAGAGCAAGACATTAGTAGCATTCCTAAAGGATGGGCATAATTCAGCTAAAAGTAAATATAAACTTCTAAAATAGATGTTTTGGAAAGGTTATCTAGCACAAGTCTGCTTCTAACTCTGGATTTTACAGGAGATTTCAGGTAGGTATCCAGCATCTGGAGAGCTCTTTACAGAAGTGGGAGCAGTATATGCTCATAATAGAACAATCTATTCTGAAGAACTCGTAAACTGAGTATCAATAAGAGAATGGACAGATCTAGCTGGCAGGAAGGAAAACAGAAGGCAGCAGAGATCAGTACTGAAGAACAAGCCAAGCAGTGGTCACTGGGCTGTAAATACTTGTAGTATCTGCCACCGAGGGGCTCTTACACCTTCAACTTAATGGACCCATGCTCCAATTCATTTCTGAAATGCAAATATTTTTGTGTTTATCAACCAAGTAGCAACACTGTAGAAGCCACTGTTAAAGCTGACTCTCCTACACTAATTCCTTATCTTGGAATTGGGTCCGCAGTGCCACACTCGCTCTCCCAGACACACCACTTACCTACTCATGAGGACTGGATTAGAGGACAGAGACTGCTGCACATAGCAAAGGATTTGTAGAATGGTTATTCTGGCACAGCTCCCTCGCTGGAGATGCGGTTTAGCAAGTTCTTTGCCAATTTAAACCATCTCCCTAAAAGACAAAACATATCAGCAGAATAAATGATCTACGCGCCTTTGCTTTTTTGTGTGCCATTATTGCTGCTGTGTTAAGGCTGGCATTTTTACAATTTAACCCATGTAGCAATTCTGGCAAAAGCAGAAGTACCTTGAACAGAAAGGCAAGATGTACCAGGAAATGCAAAAAAAAATGAATTGCTTGTTTTGTTTTCTTAAGAAACTGCTTCTTTCTCTAATGCATCTAAAGAGGAGAATGAAGGAGCCATGAGCACTAGCTCTGTTAATGAAGCACAAGTCACCTCTGGGGTGGAGAACAGCATCTGAATAGCAGTGTGCAGCAGCCCTGCAAGAGTTTACTACATGCATGGAAGAAGAATGTCCTAATGGAACCACAGCACAAGCAAAATTTAAAGATGGAATATAAATTAAACATCTGTAATTGAAACAGAATCCTACGTGTAAGACCTTGTTCTACTGGAAAGTAGCCTAGAACTTCATAGGACAAGTCCAATTAATAATATTCATTCTTAATTATCATCTTTAGACTGCAGTAGGCCTTATCTCTGCCCCAGAAAAGCATATGAGTCAATCCTGGACTAACTGGCTCTGATTCACGGAGGAACCAATGTACATAAAATCAATCTGAAGATAAAAAATGCTTCACTGACAATTTATCTAATTTATCTAATGGCTGCTAAGATTGGAGTAATAGGAGAGAGATGAGAGAGAACAGCACTACATTGCTATGGAAACGAGAATTTTCAAAATAAATACCTTTGCAGAATTGAGGCTGCACATCTAAAATAATCCATCCTGGTTTTGATGTTGCCACCTTTGCCATGAGCTCCCGCCAGGCTGCCCTGCCAGGCAGAGTCCAGCCTTGCATGCACAGACATCAGGCTGCAGTGACACAAGATACTCCCAGGCTCCTCAGCCCAGAGCAGATCTGGGCCCTGAGCAGAAGCCTCAGCATTCGGTCTGTTACTTATACAATTTTGGGGGCTCCTCCTTCTATGCAGCCAGCATGGCCAGGTCAGTGCAAAATGAGCCCATAACCACTTGGAGGGAGAGCGTCATCTTTATCCCAGTGCACGGATAATCCCAAATGTTCAGTCTCACGTGAGCAAAGAGGCCGCTCGCTTTAGCTGCGCACGCACCTCCACACCCCACCTACCCAGCTCCATCTCTCCGACTGCTGCTGTAAACAGCTCTAGGCTCCCAAAATGCTGACTCACAGTGCTGGGACTAGGGAAAACATCCAGCCTTGCTAAAGAAGTGAAGCCCAGCATGTTCCCTGCCCCTCCTAATCTGTGAGCCCCTCACCATGACAGGCTGTAGCGAAGGCCCCTGCTTCCCAATGGGAAGAAAGAGTTTTCTGTGCTTGTTTCCTAAAGATAGCCCAGATTTCTCTGAATTCCCACTTGCCAGCTAATAATTGTATGCAGGAAAAGAACCTTCCCCCCCACCCAGTGCTCACATCTCATAGAGCTAGAGATGTTATGAGATTAATAACTCCTGGGCAAGCTCCCCAGCCTAATGCAGTGCTGTTCCCTTCAGTGCATTTCCTGGGACTTGGGCAAGTCACTTTAGGCACCTCCCTGGCCTGTGGGAGGCTGCTCGGTACCTACACCCTTCACTGGGCCGCAGAGGTAGCTCTAGTTCCTGCCATCAGGACAGCTGAGTCAGTGCAGACTGGCAGAAAAATCACTATTTGCTTTGGGAGGGCTTGCCAGCAATGAAAACACAGGCAGGTTTGTACTGGGCACAAACTCCGGTTTACTGGGAGCATCCCTTCCCCGAGCTCCCGCTGAGCCGTGGGGACTCGGAGCTCCCTCCATGGAGCCAGTCCGGGTGCATCCTGCCCGCCGTGTCCCAAGCTAATCAGCCCTGGACTTTGTCCAGCTGGCAGGCTGAATGCCCACCATGTCAATGGCTTGTTCTCTCCCCTGGGAACGACCTGTTTTCACAAAGCGGCGGAGCACGCAGGGAAACAGCAAAGTTTTATGCCCGCTCTTCATGTGGCAAAGCGCTCCAGGAAGCCTGGAGGTGCAGGAGCCTTTATGGGAAGGGCAGGGTGCTGAGTTGCCTCCTCCTGCCACCACCCGCGTGGCTCATTTGCAGAGGCTGATGAGGTGCATTTGCAAGCTGGGCAGGGCAGATCTCTCACCAGTGGAAGGAGCAGCTGCGGTGAGAGCTGTGTTGCAGTGCTCAAGAGATGACTGCATTAAAGGTTTGGGTAATCACTGAGGAGGATGAGGTACTTCAGCTTCTAGAACCATCCCAAAACAGCCTGATAAGACAGATTTTCCCTCCACTGCTCTCCCCCAAGTTCCTTAAGTCTTTCCAGTGGATTCCAAAACCAGCTCCTGAGAATCTCCGTTTGGGTGATCTAGCACATCAGCAGGGACAGCTCTGGCTGCTCTTCCTCAGAGCTTCCCCTTGGATGCCCCTCAGCTCCTTTCAACTGCCTGGAACATGACTTGGTCCGAGTTACCGTCTTGGGTAACTACACTGTTACCACAAAGAGGGTTCAGTGTAAAAGCAAGATCAGATTATAAACACGGAACAGCTGCTTAAGCAGAAACTGAGGAAGATCAGCAATGATGTTGGGCAAAGAAAAGCATCGTGAGAGCTGAGAGCCTCCTTTCTCTAAGGGACACACACATTGCTGTCATTCAGTTCTGTTTCTCTCAAACTCCCTGGTAGCGGCATCAGCAAGTACATTCTGTCACATACGACTGACCAGAGGACATTGTCCTAGTCGGGCAGTAATGACCTGGCCTTCATTTTTTACAGTTTTGTCATCATAAAACCACTAGGCATGAAACCTGCAGCATAAAGGAAATTCTAGCTAGCACACACTGCTGCAGTACACTTCCCTCAGCAACACAGGTGATTGCTGGCGCTGTAAACCTCTTATAACCTGTATTAGATTCACATAACATTTCGGATCAGGCACTTAACTCAAAACTTGGCCCAGGCTCCTCTCCAAAGCCAGACTCCATATACCCAACAGACTAAAGCCCTGAGGACCACAGCAAGCAGACTTGCTGCTTTGGTAAAGTGGCATGCTTTGCAACAGACAGCTCATCCACATGGAAACAACCTTCTTTTGGCCCAAGAACAAATTGTGACATTCCCCTAGAATGAAGGAACATCCACATTTCTCCATAGGCAAATTGCACATGCAAGATCAACTCTCTGGCTGAATGGCTACGAGACCTACTGGACATTGCCACTGCCACAGTCTCTGCTCTGCCACTGCGCAGAGTGATGCTGCACTGACCTGTTCACCCTCTGGAAATGAGAAATGGTCCACGTGCCAGTCCACTAGCACATCCTGAAACTAGTCATACTCAGACAGAAGTGCAGAGATTGCCTCAAATATCATGGAAATGAATCCCAAGAGACTGCCTCAAATATCATGGAAATAAATCCCAAGAGAAGGAGTCCCTGTTCAACCCTGCAATCTCTGTTAACAGCAGAGGGTCTGCCTGGACTTTTGACCCTCCGTCCTTCTCTCCTTCTATCTCCTTGGTCTGACTTTCCCATGACTTAGCCCCTCTCTTTCCAAAATGTG